TATATATAGAAGATTATACATGAAGAGACGTGAGAAAAATATACAAATATACAGGCTATTCCATTGGAAGCTTGACACGTGATTATCTCCCAAACTATTTATTATTCCAAGAAATATTTCAAATAAAAATCCGCATAATGTTGTTACAAGGAAATCATGTTCGCCTCAAAGCAAAGTAAATTTTACTTGAAACTTTTTTTGCAATACTGAATAATTTAAGAGATAATTTTATTAAGTGTAAAGCTTTAAATGAAACATCCTGTATATAGGCATTTCTGTCTTAATAAAATTCAACTCTAATTTTGTCAAAAAATCTTAGATATGTATATATTTCTGTAATTGAAATATACCCAAGGAAGAATTACCAATGTACTTAGAAGGGAGGATGAAGTGGTAGGACAGAAGAATACTGGCAAGATTCAGATGTGGAAACGAGACCAAAGCGAGGGAATACTGGAAAGAGGAGGGGGAAAAAAGATGCAGACTATGTAGAAGGAAAGAAGAAGACCTGAGCCATGTAATAGAAGAATGTGAAATAGCGGGAGGACCAAAGGGCATAGAAAAAACGCTAAACGAGACTGGAGAAGGTTTAACAGAACTGAAAGCAATAATAGAGAAGAGAAGGGCAAACGACAGGAAGGAGGCTAGAGACCAAAGTTGCAGTAGTTTCTAGTTTTAGTTTTTAGAGATAAAATAATTAAGGGAGTGCAATAGAATAGAGTGGAAAAGAGGGGAGGTAGACATATAAGAAGAGAAATAGACATAAAAGATGTAAAATCGAAAGTTCGTGCAAAGCCGAAAAGCACGGACTAAGCAATAATAAATAATAAATAAATAATAATATATTTCTGTAATTGCGAAGACAGAAAATGTGAAGCCACTTATTTTAAATGATTTGATAATTCTGTGATAATTGTGTTAGACCTTGGGTCAGCGTGTACACAAAGTTGTAATCATGATAAAAGAGAAAAGAAGCAAGTGTCCGGATACTACTAAACGGGAGTGCATGGTATTTTCACTCAAAGAATTCCTGGTAGCTGCAATCTTCGAGCAAAAAGCAACCGTTGTTGAATACGCAGTACACTGTTCTCTGCGAGCCGTTCTTCTTCACCTGTTAGCCAACGACATGGAAACTTTCTTCGTGACAATTTGACGTATTCACCAGGGCTACTCGGCTTTTGTTGCCTTTTTAACCGTGCAACACGAGACGCGCTAGCTACAACTTCGCCGCTCTCGACACGAACTCCAGACTCCAGACGTTCTTTGAAGCTGCCCGGTCGAGCTGCTGTCGAGTGGAAATCCATTGTTTCTTTTTACCACACGTTCTCGTTTTTCGATTTACGAGGGCTGCCGCTCCATTTTTTTATTTTTTTTTCCTTTTTTATTTATTTTGCCAGCAACGAGCGACTAGTTGGCGACTGTCCGAGTTCCGGTTGTGTCGTCCTGATAGTTACATATATTCTTAATTTTACATCTCTATTTTTCGCTCGTTGTCAACTTTATTGAAATCAGTTGTTTGACTTCTAAACTTTTATAGTATATATGTATATTGTAACTGTGTATATATATATTAACGAATGTAGTATCAATCTAATTATGTATTGTACCTGCGTTCTTAGGTATTAACGTGTTTCGTTTTATTTATTTATTTATAAATTTATTATTATTATATTATTTAAATATATATTTTATTTATAAATATTAACATATTTACGGATTTACTATATTTATATATTTATTATTCTATATTTTCGACTTCTTTTTTCGCGTAGAATCATCCCCTTTCCGCTTGTACCACCAGTTACCAACCACCCTGTATATAGAAATTCAATATAAGAAACCAGTTTATTCTCCTTCAAAAGAGAGGAAAGTATTGAATTTATAAATGAGCTTTTAAACAGTTTTCTTTTCTTAAGGGTTTCTAAAGATTGTTAAGATTATGTTATCTTCATTCTTCTAAGTATTCTAAGACTTATGACCTTATGACTTATGTATATAATCAATCAAATCATAAAGCAATAGTTTCCAAAGTATGAACATTATCCAGTCACATAATACATCATGCATAAGAATTCGACTCGAAAGATCAATTTCCTTTTCATAAACAAAACAAAACCAATCAAATACATAATCCACCTAACATTATATATTTAACAGTGCTACAAAACAACAGTTTCAAAGGTAGAAATTATCGAATTAATGGAAACAGCATGGATGACCTATCCGAATCTCATCGAGACGTCATTCGACTACAAAAATGCCATTACCCGAGGTTGTGCAAGATCGAAGAGCAGTGGTAATACGATTCCAGACTCTCGTCATTAAAAGCGAAGAACTCTCGTTTCGCGAACACTTGCTTGCTTGAAAGTTCCGGTAATGGCGACAGCCGTATGGAAATCGTTTGTAGATCGTCCAATAAAGATCTCGGGGAACAAGAAGATATCGGAGAAATTACTCATACATGGGGAAACACATAACTTCAAGCGAAACGCGTGTATTAAAACGGCCTGTAGGAAGCGCTACGGTCTGATTTGCGTAAACGACTCTTCCGAAATTGCTAAAGTCCATGACTGTAGGAGCGAGGGGGTAGGAAGTAAACGTTACTCTCGCATTCTACTGTAAACGATGCACCTAAATGAAATTACCCATTAGAAATTAGATCGCAGCTCGAGAGGCGTTCTTCTGCGTCTATGTCCGACCAAAATTTCCACGCTGAAATTAGTATAGTGCGAGTATGTATATACTGACATTTAGTATTAAATACATGTATACGTAATACGTAGCGTTTTAGTGGCATTCAGTAAGAAGCGTAATATGTAACTCTGTAGCTATTTCGAGTATGGTACCCACGCGGGTGTATACTGTGAAACGACAAAGGACGTGTAAAGTCAAATAGAATTTTTAGTGGAATGAAAGATTTAATCTTCTTTTACTAGAATGTTTTTGCTACACTGTTCGCATTTATGCATTTACGCGTGTAGAGAATGTAAATGAAAAGGCGAAAATGTAAAGAAGGCACGTAATAATGTATACGTAAAAAATATACGAAATATGCAAAGCAAAACATTTGTGGCGGTACTCGACCACGGAAATTTCCAACGGCTTCGCGACACAAAGCGCTATACCTTCAAAGCGTAATGTACCATCGATATCCCTACGGTTGTTTCGCCGAATATTCGACAATCGTCGCGCACTTCTAATAAACGCGCGCGTAGTGGGGATATCGAGGGGCAACAAAGGAAAGAATCTGTTTGGTTTTGAACCAAAAGAGTCATTCTGCCCCGAGCTGCGAAGTGCGAAAGGTCAAGCGTAGCCAACACAATTATAGAAACGGGTTATTGACTCTTGAGGATTCAGCGTTGATCGTTACTTGTTATTAATCGTTGTTAATCGATAATCGTTGTTTGTTGTTAATTGTTAAGAGTTTAATAAACGTTATTGTTGAAAATCAAGGGTATTTCTTGTGGGCACCTCCATCGACGATCACCTCACATTCTTTATGTTTATAGGTAAAACGATTTTTTATTTGGGTTCCCGTTTTCTTTTTCTTTCGATTATGTCCGTATAAATTTGTATGAGCATCTCATTTTTCACTACTTGACGAGAGTTCATAATAAATAATTCTCCTTTAATCCCACTAAATGCAGGGCAAAATTTATGGATCGCCAGATTTTCCATACAACTTAGTAATTAATCACAGTGCTTGATTTTGTCTGAAATTTAAAAACCAATAATGTGTACTTAAAAAAAAATGTCTACTCTCATATCCATGAGATGCTATAGTACAATAATAAATGAACGAAACATAAGATTTTCACATTACGTAGCTTTAAATTTGAGCTCTTGTTCCTCTGAATCGAATCTGCAATTCCTTTTAAAGAATAAGAGCATCGTAAACGAGTAACTACAAGTAAAGGTCTTTATAACTTTTTCAGGCAAAGTAGAGGATTTTACAAGATCTTTAAATAAGATATAAAGCAGAAAGAACTTTTAACACGAATGAAACTTTAACGCTGTTTTCGTGGTTTTCAAACTATATATTAAATCCATTTTAGAATGTGGAAAATATAAAAAATGAGTGTCATAAAGCTAAAACCTCTTTTTATATAAATACAGAGATTTTTTATACGCTCTCTAAATAATCATTTTGCAGCCAATTTTTAACGCAAAAGAAACCTTTGGCCTATCATGACCTCTGTGATTCTTATTTTAGATTTATTTCAAAAAAGAGAAATGGAATAGGATGAGGGGATTGTTGAACTAATCTTTTTTGTAGCTGTGTACAGATGGGAGACATTTTAACATAAAAGGAATGTTATTTCTTATCTTTTGTTACTGAGCAAGAGATCAGAATCTGTTGAAAGAAGTACAAGTTTCTCATCGCAAGTTCCAGTTAAATAAATATAAAATATTATTTTCTTTATATATACCTTATATATTAACTTAGCACAAAATTTATATTTTCGTGTTATTAAATATTTTGTGATAATTGCTCTTCATAGAACAAACATATACATGAGATTTCTATGTATAGTCTTACACAAACTCTATACATGAAATATTTGCAATTGAAAGATCGATTATTTTATAACATATAAACATACAAGAGATTCTCATTTATGTTAGTCATCAATAACTAAGATTAATAGTGTACTATTCATAACATAAAAGTCTTCTCAAGATCGATGAAGCAAACATATCAAATTATTTTACGTAGTAAATAGTGCCATAATTTTTGTCTAAATTTACATACGTGTTTACGTCCGTAAAAAGTGTGGAAATAAGCTACATAATTTTTACAGAGAAATTGTTGAAGTGCTTTAAAATAATTGACTGAGCTACTTTATACTGTTACACAGACATTGTAAAGAATGAAGTAATAACCTTTGCATTTATACAGTTAACTAAGAGCAATGTTTTATCTATGTATCCAAACAATTAGTAGATAAAATCCCGTGTAATAGATCATAGGTAACAACAAGTAAAATCTTAGAACACTGCTAGAGAGCGTGACGCTGTTTGGAGCAGAGGTATGGGGCTGGAACATGGAAGAAAGACTGGATAGAGTACAAAGAAGATATGCGAAATGGATATTAGGCTTAAATACGACAACACGAAATTATATACTGATAGAAGAATGCGAGATAATAGAAATAAAAGAAAAAGCATTAAAAAGAGCAGCGAGGTACGAAGAGACAGCTCTAGAATCAAAAAAGGAAATAGTAAAGGAGTGTATAAAGGAAAGAGAGAGAAACTGGGGAAATGGTCATGAAGGGAAAAGAGCAAGAAAGAGAAAGAAGGGACTAGAAGAGGAGCGAAAGGGAGGGACGCAGATAGAAGCAGAAGAGGAGCAAGAAAGGATGACAGCAGACCAAATTATAGAAGGAAGAAGAAAGAGAGAAGCAGAAGAGAGGGGGAAAAGGATAAGGAAATCCAAGTATAATATACACTACAGAAACATAGTCAAAGAAAAATTATCAAAGTACTTAGAAGGGAGGATGAAGTGGTAGGACAGAAGAATACTGGCAAGATTCAGATGTGGAAACGAGACCAAAGCGAGGGAATACTGGAAAGAAGAGGGGGAAAAAGATGCAGACGATGCAGAAGGAAAGAAGAAGACCTAAGACATGTAATAGAAGGATGTGAAATGACGGGAGGACCAAAGGACATAGGAAAAACGCTAAACGAGACTTGAGAAGGTTTAACAGAATTGAAAGCAATAATAGAGAAGAGAAGGTGGGCAAATGACAGGAAGGAGGCACAGCAAAGGGGCAAAAGCCCAAAGTTGCAATAATTTTTAGTCATTAGTTGCTAATTTTTAGTTTTTAGAGGTAGAATAAAGTGGAAAAGAGTGGAGGTAGACATATAAGAAGAGAAGTAGACATAAGAGATGTAGAACCGAAAGTTCGCGCAAAGCCGAAAGGCACGGACTAAGCAATAATAATAATAATAATAAATAAACAAGTAAAATCTATTATTAATATTTAGTAATCAGTTTTTCAAATATAAAAGTTCTCTATAGAATAGAAACGTATCTTCGCATAAAATGTTCCTTCTTTGTTTGTTTTGTTACAGAAAATACAATTGAATTTTTATTTATTTTTCAAAAAATTTTACTAACTTTTTACATAATTTACATAATCTTGAAATCCGTTTTCCCAATTCTGGCTTCAAGCTGGAGCAGCCGTATAATAAATAGCACGATCGATGTGTTTTCCACATCCGCGAATACGAATACGCGATGTCGTGGATGATATATTTCTCGCGTGGACTCATTGCAAATCACGGCCAATATGAACGACATATTTTGAAATTCAAATATTCTCGCCATTGACTTCTGCCTCTGTCTGAAACGCAGTATATACCAAATACCAATTACGTGAAAGTGAGCGATTACTCTTGATGACCATATTTCTGACAACAAATTTTTCCCAACTTTCAATTAAATCGATAATCTGAAATATCGATCACTTCAAATGAAACAAAAATGAAAGAAGATTGTATCAAATGAACGAAAATCCTAAAGTGACTCGTTGTGAGGTCACACTCAAATATGTTGCAGTTTTTGAAATATATCGGTATTTTTAGTTTAATTTAACGTAACATATACTCCAGCCTGTAACTTTATGTAATTACTGTCATGTAAGTAACGTGGGTGCTAATGCAATTAAAAAAGACTAAATAAAGAAAAGAAAGAATAAACATAAAACATTCAGAAATGTTTTAGGACTTTGCACATTTGTAATGCATGATATTTAAGAAAAATGGGCTATTTAAATAATAAATATTTATATAATGTTTTTATTTTTTTATATCAATTCTCTAAGTAACAAGAATGTAGAATTTGTCCTCTTAATCTTATTTATTAAATATTTATTACATTTTGAAAAGTATTATATTTTGAAACATCTTTAAATGTTTTTTTCAAATTCAGAAATGTTTTAAGACTTTGCACATTTTTAATGCATGACATTTCAGAAAAATGTGCTATTTAAATAATAAATATTTATATAATGTTTTTATTTTTTTTATATTAATTCTCTAAGTAACAAGAATGTATAATTTGTCCTCTTAATTTTATTTATTAAATATTTATTATATTTTGAAAAGTATAATATTTTGAAACATCTTTGAATGTTTTTTTTCAAATTTAACAATTAAATATATCTTCATTCATCCTTTTACTGAAAGACAAAGTCTTCTTTGTAAAATTTTTAATAATTCTTCATCTCTATAAGATGCTTACTTTATCAAATAAAAGTGATATGCATATAAATATAAAAAAAATATTTGCATCACAAAAATAGAAAAAAAATTGTCATTTCTTAAAATAATCAGTTTATGAGTATACGTATACTTCACAGTTAAACATCTTTTATTTATCTTAGGAAAGTCCAGTAGGTCATGATCAAAATTAATAAGATAAATATTTAGAATTATTATTTTAACAAGGCCTAAGGACGATATTTAACAAATTATATTTTATAAAAAGCAAATATTATTTTTAAGAAATTATATTTTAAATATTAATTAAATTTTAAATATATTAATTTCTATCAATATTATATGTGTATATTAATTATATTTTACACTTTTTAAAATTATAGTTTCCAAAAATTTGGTTAAGGAATCCATTAAGTCTTCCATCAAAACCAAAACGACAAAATTGTCTTAGTACCATTATGTTATATTGGTTAAAAAGAGCGAGAAAAGCAGGTTACAGAACTTTCCCAGTTTAGACCTTTTAACTCTCAACTAGTCCGCCTAATTTGGACAGACGCGTACAGACGATATTCTTTCAAAAATTGACGATCCACGGTACTTCTGAACAGAGTTTCTCAAATATTTCGTTCTTCTGGGAACGTTTCAGCTTGACTACAAGAGAAATAAACAGATTTTTGCGTTAGCAGAAAATTGCATTCCTATCTCATATGTTGTCGACCATAGAATAAAAAAACGAAAGAATAAATGCTTCCCCCCGTGAAATGCTCTTTTTGGATTATTATTGTATGAAAGAAAGTCGTTAGAAATTAAAAAGAAAATCTATATGGATGTAAAAGCGTCAAATCGACACTATTTCCGGTTTTGCTCAATTCGATAACCCCATAAATTGCAGGCAAAAATATTGTTATGTTTTCATTGATCTTATCTTCCTTTATTTCATTTCTTCCTAATGTAAAATTTTTATATACAGTGACTTGAACGTTAATATTCGGACATTTCATGATTCTTTAATATTATTTAACTTCTCTTTCTCATTTAAGAAAAGTATATGCATTAAATAAATAAAATATATGTCTCTTTACGAAATACAATATTTTAATGTATATGTATTTTAATATATATTGAAAAGTTATTAACATATATTAACAAATATATCGAAGATAATTAGAAATTTGTTCTAATAGATTAAAGTCAACTAGTTGACTATTTTAAATAGATATATACAACAATATTTCAAACATTATAGTACCTGAATATTATTGCAAATCACTGTACTGAATTTCTAAATCAGTTGTCTTATTTACTTAAAAATATTTTTGGATTATTTATAATTTCAAGGAAGGTTTATTTAGTAAGGTTTGGCGTGGACGAGTGAGTTTTTAAATATTTGGAACTGGTAGAGTTTGAGGATCTCTGAGTTTGAAGAAAACAGGCCAGGTGTGACTACAGTGCGTTGAAAAAGGGTGTCTGCTCGACAGGGACTAACCACACTAACTACGGTACAAAAATGAACAAAACAAAAAGTGGGTCGAAGTCCACTTAAGAATTGAAAATAGACTGTTTTAACTTCAACAATCAAACACTGAGTAGTCACATGGTACTCAACACACTGTTCTTTACAAAGCAGAAGTGGAAGCAGAAAAATATTTGAGATACATTGTACACATCAAAAATATTGTTTACATCGAAGAAGACATCTTAAGATGTTGAATAACAAACATACAAAAAATTACGTGTTGTATATCAGTTGTGAATAGAAGCTTGCACGAAAAAAATTATCAGATTTCTACAAGCTAATTATAAGAATATTCCTCAAGCTACTCTTAAAAAAATTTTTTTTTGTTGACTGATAATAAGTAATTTCTAAATAACATTGCAAACTTTTGTAATAAGATATATATGTACCTTAATCTCTAGCAAATTATTATTTTATCAATGTAAATTTCAATTATTTCATAAAATTCTACTTCAGGTATAATATCAAGAATGAACTAATTTAAAATGTACTTAGTTAAAGAAGATTTATAGAATTATAAAATTAAGTACGTAGATAAATTAAAAGGCAAATGGAAACGCAAATTAAAAATCTATTGAATAAAAAGTGTTAAACAAAATATTTGCAAGATTAAAAAAGAAATAAAGTAAAATATACATTACATGTTATTACACATTATGTACAATATGTATATTTTTTCTCTTTTTTTATTATTTAATTTGTACTTTACAATTTGTCCAACTGGACATCTGGTAAATACAATATGTATATGTTACTCTGTTCTGGCGGGGAAGTTAGTACTTTTCCTTGAAAGTCTCGCGGAAATCCCACCCGCTTAGTTAGTTTTATTTAGCCTAGAACCATTAAGTAGCCGTGGGTCGAAAATTCTGACTTCTACAGCACGTGTTAACTCTACGGGGTGCATAATGATACGTTTCAAGACATTCTGTACTTTCGTTAGAAAAACGGAAACAAGGAAAAGGACAAATATATAAATCAGGCACCCTTATTTTTAGTATTTTGTATGTACGTTATTTCGACCATTTGATGAAACTCATTTTATTTCCAAATCGTTAATTAATATTAAGATATATATATTTATTTTTTATTCTTTTTATTGTTAATTCTAGCTCCAAAGACCATACATGGACTTGGTTTATATAACCGTTTTTCTTATCGCTCACTCCTTCTCGTCACGTCATTCCCAAACGTATAAATCTATAAAAAGCATACCTATACTATATATAGGTGCACATAACCTATGCCTATACTATTTCATAGGCATTTCCTACAACTAATATTAATATTTTGTTTATGATATTCAAACAATTAATAAATAATATCCCTTATAAACCCTTATACCTCATAATAGATAATAAGAATAAGATCTATTTTTTAATAATGATAGATAAAGTTTCCCAGAAAAGACATGTATTTACCAAATGTAAAGTACAAATTAAATAATAAAAAAAAAAGAACAGACTTTTTACACGTAATATACGTTACTACGTCACTCGTCAAAATAAAAAATACTCAAAATGCTATAAAATACGAATACCTTAATAATCAGCTAATTTATGCTAGTCAGAATTCATTATATTATGCAAGCACAGTAAGTAGTTTGTCAGAATCCACCATTTAGTTTTAATACTTTTTAATTAATTTATGTTATTGAACTCTGTTTTCTAACGTTATGATTATAAAAGGGAATTCCAAAAATTTCGTTAATATTTCCATGGCTATTTCTTCTCCCTTTTGCATTTTATAATTTTATGAACTTCCGAAGAAACCGAGGTATCTATAGCATTAAATTATCTCTTTTCAAATCACAAAAATGTTGCTTATGTCTCCTGTTTGTAT